GCTCAGGTGAGCCCCCCCCCCAAAATGTAGGGGTACCACACCCTGAGGCTCCTAAACCCTCCCCAAATGTGGGGATGCCACCCCGAATAACCCCAAACCCCCCAAATCTGGGGGTGCTCCCCACGAATGACCACAACCCCCTCCTGGGGTGACCCCAAATATGGGGATGCCCCCCCCAAAAGATCCCAAACTCCCCAAATCTGGGGGTATCCCCTCCAAATGACCTCAGCCCGTTGCTGGGTGACCCCCTGAGCCCCCCCAGATGTGGGGGTACCCCCCCGAATGACCGCAACCCCCTCCTGGGGTGACCCCAAACCTGGGGGTGCCCTCCCGAATAATCCCAAACCCCCCAAATCTGAGGGTGCTCCCCTCGAATGACCGCAACCCCCGCCTGGGGTGACCCCAAGTTCTGGGGGTGCCTGCCCCAATGACCTCATCCCCCTCCTGGGGTGACCCCAACCCCTCCAAATTCTGGGGTGCCCCCCTGAATGACCGCAACCCCCTCCTGCGGCGACCCCAAATCTGGGGGTGCGCTGCCTAGAATGACCCCAAACCCCCCAAATTCTGGGGGTGCCTGCCCCGAATGACCTCATCCCCCTCTTGGGGTTCCTCCAACCCCCCCAAATTTTGGGGTGCCCCCCCAATGATCTCATCATTTCTCCAGGGGTGACCCAAATCTGGGGGTGTCCCCTCCAAATGACCTCAGCCCGTTGCCGGGTGACCCCCTGAGCCCCGCTCGAAATGTGGAGGTGCCCCCCTTCAATGACATCATCCTATCCTTTTGTACATATGGGAAGGATACCTAGACAGAAATCTCATTTCATTATGGTAATGAGAAATTAAACAGTAAATACACATTCTATATGATTCCTTGACCTGTCAAAGTAACCTTGTGGCTCATTCTCATTGAAAGCTTTCATTATACAGGTGTTCTGGTTTGGTTTGGTGGGCTTTTTGGTAGCAGGGGAAGGGCGCCAGGAGAGGCTCCTGTAAGAAGCTGAGAAGCTCCCCCTGCACCAAACCCAGCCAAGGAGCCGTTAGAGGGACAATAGATGTGCCTCTGTCATTAACATACAAAAGAACTGATATAACACCTGAGCAGAGAGGCATTTGAGGGAGAAGAGGTGTGCTGGAGGAGAAGAGCTGTGCTCGAGGAGGAGAGCAGTCCTGGTTGGTGAGGAGGAAGGAGAAGAAGGTGCCCTAGCAGAAGTTTCCCTGCAACCCATGGCAAGATGGCAGCTGTCCCCTTCACTCATGGAGGAACGTGGTAGAACATTCCCTGAAGGTGCCAGGAGGGGTGAAGTTGGCCACTGGACTTGGATTTGTGGCCAGAGGATTTGCTGTCAGTGGACTCTGATGATGCAGCTGTGAAAGACCCCTGCACCAGGTGAAGTGGCTATTCCCAAAGCAGCCTGTGACTCTGTGGGAAGCCCAGGCTGGAGCAGCTCTGGACCTCATGGGAAGGACTCATGAAGAAGAGATTCGTGAAGGAGTCTCTCCCATGGGAGGGATCCCATGAGGAAGCAGGGCAGGACTGTAAGGAATCCTTCTTCCTGAGGAGAAAGGAGCAGCAAGAACCACCAGCCTGTGGGAAGGGGGAGTTGTGTGAGCAGGCATGCGGCTGTTCCTCTGTTGTCATGTTGGAACAAAACCACGACATGATTGGCAAGCCAGGCAGGAGAGAGAGATAACCATGACAACAAGAGATACTGAAAGGATTTTAATGGCATGCCCTATTATCTTCTAATAGAATTGGAGTCAATACTGTGTATAGAGACTGTATCTTACCAGACAGGCTAGCAGGGAGTAAAATATATTGATTTGAAGAAATGCTTGAGGGAGTGACATTCACAATACAATCATATATACTTAATGAGAAGGCTTATGACTTGCCAATAAAAACCTTAAACAATATACCCATATTATTTAGGAGGATATTGTTCAAAATAATTTAGATTAATTGATTTATTGACTACCTTTAAATAAGATAATTTTTCTTATTCCTCATGTACAATTGTAATCCATATATTCAGTAAGTGTTTCCTATAGCTAAAGATGTTTCTTCTTTAGTATCTTAATGCAGTTTTGAAAGAAAAGACTCCACAGCAGTCTTGCCATAGTTAAACAGTGACAAAACCTTACAATTTCAAAGGTATAAAATACACGTCTAATCTACTCTACATGATGCATTAGGAGCTTAGTGAACCTGAGGAAGAGAACTTGCTAACTTCACAGTTGTTAAACATGGTCATAATTTCTACAATCATAGATAGATTTAAGAAAGTGCTGGGAAATTGAGTTGAAAGAGGTATGATCTCTGTTCCACAGCCACATCAGCTTGGGAGCCCAGTTTTTTTTTTTAGTTTTGTTTTTTTTTTTTTGTCATAAAGCCTAACCACTGCTGGAAATTAAGTCAACATCATTCTTGGAATCATTGTAGTTGACATTCAACTCCTCTTACCCTCGCACCTGTCCGTAATGAATTTTTTTTAATTGTCAAATATTAATTAAAGATGCTTGCATTTTCTCTTGGAGAATCCGTATTGTGAAAATTCATTTAGTGTTTGAGTTGCAATTTGCCCCTTCCCTTGTTTTATAAGGCCAGGAATAGCAGAATGTGGAAGAGGGGAGTTGTAACCATTTGGGTTCTTCATTCTCTTTCTTTGGGAAGTCATGTGTTTTTCAGGCTCTGCTTTCAATGCATGAATTCCCAGAAATTAATGAGACGGGTTCTTCTGACTAATGCTGAATAGAGCAAAAGCTCTGTTATTGCTGCTAACTTTGCTGAGAACGAAGAATTAGTAGTGTTAATTTTAAACCCACAAAACTGAAAAAATAAGCTGTTTTTAATTTCAGTATTTTTAAGACAAACACTTTTTTAGCCATTTTTGAGGCCTCCTAATGCTATCAACCTAACTTTTAATTATGGGCCCAGAATATGTTTTTCATTTAGTAAACATTTTCCCAAAGCCAACAGAACTCAATTATGAATAAATCTGTAATAAAAATACAGTAAAGTCCTTTCTCCAAAACGTAAGATAAAGGCTGAAAAAAGTTCAGAGTTTTAGAAGGTTTTTTTTACTAGAGCAGCAGGTAACCTTGTGTGTTTGGTGGAAATACCTAAGGAGTATGTGGCTTCAGGCTTTTCTCATGCTATTTTATTAAAAATATATAAATCAGAGTGATACTAACAGAAGTTGTTAAATAAAATTTCCTTCTCATGGCCAATTTAGATACTTTCAATTTTGCTATAAATGAACATATTTGCATTTTCTGAACTTTTAGAAGGAAAAGAACTTATAA